TGTAAGTAGGTTAGTTATTGTTGTGAGTAGAGTAAGGCAATGTAAGTAATTATGTGTTTAGCAATAAATAAATAAATAAAAAAAAAACTATGTAACTGATTTTGTGTCTCCAAGCTTCCAATTTGGCGCCAAAAATGGGTCGCCGGCGTCAAGCATGGCAACTCGCTCGTAGTCCGTCGAGTGTCGCCAGGTAGGATAATAGTTGTGTTATTTTGAACAAAATATGCTGTTCCTCGTCAAATTAAACCCGGAATTCTCAAGTTAAAGATTAGAAGAGACCAAAGCAAGTTTAGCATTGCCTTTATTTTTGTTAGCTTCGAAGAAAAAAGGCTATTATCGTGTCGTTTCGGTAGGACAGCTAATTTTGGTTGCCGCTCGTACTGCGGGCGTAGCCGCCGTATGCAAGGATACAATGAAATTCAAATCTAAATGTTTACGATCATCGCGTGACTCTCAACAATTCAAGATAATTGTCAAGTTTTATTATTTTATTAACTACATCTTTGGATTCTATTGTACTTTTCTTTTAACGTTTTTAGGCTCAACAATTTTTAGCTACTGTAGTTTTAAGGTTTTTTTAGGTTTTTTCGTTCTTAATCGAGCCAGCCTGAATACCTACTGAGGGCGAGGTTGCCTCCTGGTTTAAAAAAAAAATTATTACTTATTATTATGATGAATACAACTACCATGGTACCCTGCAGGGGCGTGTCATAGAGGGAATTGGCTATTTTAACAAGAGTATGAATTCGACTGCCTTATAGTTAGCTGATAGGCCATATTCTTATTCGCGGTATTGGACTGGAACTAGCTTGCAACTGAGGCTACTGTGGGGAGTCTTTTCAAATGCAAATGACATCAATCTCTTTTTAATGATATTCCCCCGCATGAGCCTCAGTTGCAAGCTAGTCCCAGTCCATTACCGAGAGTACAAATATGTCCTATTGCAAGTTTTGTCAGTTTAATGGTAACGTGAAGTAAACTAACTTTTCTTTGTGATGATGATATCACTTATAAAATTAGCTTAAAACCATATCAACATCAGCTTTGATTCGCAATTTCCCGACTTTGAGTGATAAAATCTGAGCCCAGCTACATAGCAAACAGAAAAAACTATGTTTTCGGCAGTTTTTCTTTTTTCTTTTTGTTTTGTTTTTGTTTTTTTTTTTAATCAACAAATTTTCAGAAACGGATTTCACTAAAAAAGTTAACGTTAAAAAGCAACGACGTTTCGACCGCTCGACGGTCGAAACGTCGTTGCTTTTTAACGTTAACTTTTTTAGTGACATTTGTTTTTTTACCACGTATTTTTCCTTTCCACCCAGATTTTCCTTTATCGTTCTGACTTGATACAGGTTGCTGTTACAATCTTTTCTAATTTTCTTCCGCCTTGCTTCTCAACAACTTCTTTGGATGTTTCTTGGCTTTCTACACTGTTTTGAAGTTTCATCAATTCGATTTTAAAGCCGGCCCATAAAGCGCAAATCTAAATCACCCATACCACCGTTTCACTGACTTTCTTTAATAACGTCTTCAACGCGATGCAAATATCGTACACTCTGTTTTTTAAAGCCAAAAGCGTGCCTCAAAAATCTGACCCTCGAGTTCTCATGTTCAAAGACTAGTATCAAAATACTCACGTGTTCAAACACTGGTACCTAAATACTGTGTAAGAACAAGGCGTGCTGGGTTATGGAGTGGCCACGTACTGAAACAATGGGTAACTGGAAAAACTATAACAAGGACTTCATAAATATGTGCATACTGAAGACTACATGAATAAATAAGTATGTTTGTACACGAATGAATAAGTAAAAACAGTGTTCTTTGTTCCCTTGAAGAGTAGGAGTCTCAGAATCGGAGAGTTAAATTGTTCTTACACTCTTGTGGGCTTTCTACAACCACGTTAAATGAAGATTACAAATCAAGAAAATAGCTTTGTCGGGTGGCGTCTGCCAATAATCGTTGAACAAATCTTCGCTATCATGTCGTACTTTGTCTAATTTGGCATCAGGCTCCAAGCATTTGAGAACTCGCAGAAGATATTCTTCAACGTTTAAGCCTGTGAGGAACCATTTTCAGTAGAGTTCGGGGTCGCTGAATCAGTCTTTAGTAGAGTTACGCGAGAAGGAGCTCCCCAATCTCACACTCTTCATTGTTGTACACATCTCTTGCGCATGCTTTTTTTTTCCATCATGGTAGCAGAGGCATTGACAACTGCACGTAGATCCCGATTTTTTTTACACTTGAGGGGGCCTGTACCTTCCTAAGTTACGTGAGAAAGAACTTTTGTAAACTGAGTTCCAATTCTTTCACCTTCTCGTTCTTTAAGCGATGCACTGACGATAGAAACTAAAAGGCATAAGTATGGGTTAGTTATTTACACGATAAAAATTCATTAATAAATTCTATTAAGCTTTTTATGAATAACATGCCAATATCAACGGTTTTTTTTTTTAATCGAGTTCACATTTACTGCGACGTATAGCATTTTGCATCTCTGTAACCAGATATGGAGTAAAAAGCAGGTACCAGAGGGGTGGAAGAAAGGTTTGCTGATCAAACTGCCAAAGAAAGGCGATCTGAGCCAGTGTAAGAACTGGCGTGGCATCATGCTTTTGAACATGGCAAGTAAGGTGTTCTGTAGAGTGATCTTGGAGCGTATCAAGACCGCCCTGGATAGAAAACTGCGAGAGGAGCAAGCGGAGTTTCGAGCTGGCCGAAGCTGTATGGACCAAATAGCAACGCTGAGGATTATTGTGGAACAAAGCATTGAGTGGCAGTCCTCCTTGTACATCAACTTTGTAGATTTCGAAAAGGCTTTCGATAACATCAGCAGAGAGGTGTTGTGGAGGTTGCTGCCCCACTACGGGATGCCGGTCAAGATAGTTAACATCATCAGAGCTATTTATGACGTTTTTTCTGCGCAGGTGGTACACAATGTAAAGAAGACCGAACCATTGTACATGAGAACTGCGTCAGACAAGGCTGCCTGCTATCTCCCTTGCTGTTTCTGGTTGCCCTTGATTGGGTGACCAGGACAGCCTTTGCCAGAAGACGGCGTATCCAGTGGTCCTTCACAACATCTTTAGAAGATCTTGATTTCGCAGATTATCTGGCCTTACTGTCGCACGGAGTGCAGGACATGAGAGATAAGACACAGGCCTTAAAGGAGCAAGGTGCAAAGGTAGGCCTGAAGATCAATGCTACAAAGACAAAGATAATGCATATCTGAACCAAACGCAGCGATGGTGTATTCATTGAAGGGGAGAAGGTTGTGGAAGTGGACGAATTCACGTACCTCGGGAGCATTGTTAGTAAGAAGGAAGGTACTGACGAGGACATCCAGGCACGCATTGGGAAGGCAACGCAGGTATTTGCGATGTTGAGGCCAATATGGCGGTCTATGGCGCTAACAAATAAGACCAAGTTGAGAGTCTTTGGGTCAAACGTGAAAGCTGTGCTTCTGTACGGCTCTGAAATTTGGCGGCTGACCAGGGGATTGAAGCAGAAGCTGCAAGTGTTCATCAATAAGAGCCTGAGGAACATCCTGCGCATTTGGTGGCCTAGACGAATACGCAGCGAGGAGCTCTGGAGTCAAGCAGGACAGCCACCGGTAGAGTAGGAGATAAGACAAACAGCTTGGGGTTGGATTGGCCATACGCTGAGGAGACCAGACGGATACATAGCCAAGAGGGCGATAGAGTGGAACCCGCAGGGGAAGCGTAAGAGAGGCAGACCCTAGCACACCTGGAGGCGCACGAGAATGGCAGAGTTGGAGGA